CTTGTGAGACTGCAGAGAAAGTGGCTCAGCTAGACAATCAGTCTGAACAGCGCTGCACACCCTACAGCACACGCTCCTGGCACCTTCTGACCTTAAGGGGCTTGAATGTCGAGTGATGGCAATACTAGCAAAGCAGGCAATCTGTAGACGTCAGTAACTTAAACACTGTGTGGAGTCATTCTTTGGGACAGAGCTCAGCAGCACCGCGATCTGCACTTTGTAATAAAGAAATACCAACTTAAGTTCTAAAACCTCATCCTACATTCCTCTTTCCTCAGAAAATAGCAACATAAAATTTTATTCTGTGCCATTTTAATGATGGAAATAATGTATATGAAAGCACTTTGAGGAAAAAGTATCAAATGTAATATAACTATAAGGTCATATTATTAATGTCTATTAAAAAGTTAAAGCAGTTGGTTACATGCTGATCGACTTACAGGCTTTTACCTGTGTGGGGCCTGAAAATGCAGATATGTAAACAGTCACCTGTAACTTAGGCATTTATAAATATGGAACTGCTAAATGACTGTGTGCAGGTTCAGTAAGTGTTTTACTGAAATTGTAGCTCAGTGTTGAATCACTTCAGAAAACTAGGGACCAACTTTCTGGTTTAATTATAATCATTAAAAAGTAACAGTGGGCACTCACTCCACAACAGAGAAGCTCTTCCAGGCACCTGACTCAAGAAGAAGGAGGCCCTGTTGGTTGTGAGCCTTTGTCCGCTACACGTCCAGTCATCTAGCATCTAAATGTGGCGGCAGCAGACACATTGCCTGTTGATGTTGACAGTGTCTTTTTTAACCTGTGTCCTGCGTGGGTTTTTGTTGTTGTTGTTTTCCTGCGGGGCAAGGGGTTTGGGGGTGAGAGGAGATTGGATGGCTATAGAACCAGATCGTTTTAGGATTTCCTATCAGTTATAAATGAGCTTGACATTCATCATCCATGTTTATTTTTTTCTAAGAAGAGTAGCTGAATATAAGTCACCTGTTAGATGATAAAATACCCAAGAGTAGACCGCATTGGTGGCCACTTTGAGTGACAGCTGCACTGTATTCTGACATCTCCTATTCCTTTCCATGTTTGCTACTGATGTCATCACTGCTCTCAGGCTCTGTTCCCACATTGGGCTGACAGGATTGTTTTGTTCTTGATGACTTCTGGGTTTCAGCATCTTGCTTGCATTAATTTGGGATCCATCTCTCTGCCCTCAGCCTTTATGACCAGTCCTCTTTATGTAGGTGGGTCTCTAGACAGAAGTTTCTAATGTATTTGTTAATGGACTCCAGCTGACTATATCTCTGTCATAGCTTCTGTCAAGCCAGTAGCTCGGTTCTTTTGTAAATCCCTGATTCAGTTTGAGATCTGTGGGAGCAAGAGAGAGAGAGAGAGAGAGAGAGAAAGGCAGCCCCAAGGGCACCTGACAATCCAGGAAAGTAGCTGGTCACCACAGCCTCGTCACAGAGGAAGGCCTTGGGCTGGTTCTAAAACATGTCCTACTGTTAACAGGATATTTATATCCTTGGGGTAGAGTTTCAGTTTTCCAACTCCCAGACTTTAAAAAAAGTCTAATGTAAGGTTTGCTTTTTCAGGCAGGTCAATAGTGCCTGGTGTAACAGTTACCATTACCTGCTCTGTACCATGGGCCTCCACTGCCCACCCCGTTCTGTGTCACTGGGGAAGCATGGGTGATTTCAGGGCTTCTCAGTAACTGTTCTCGCTCCAGCCTGCCTTTCGTGGAGTTTACTGCAATGTCCAAAAAGATGAGCTTCTGTTCTGGTCCTGCTGCCTTTGATGCCACCCACCTGAGGTATATGTTATATCTTGAGATAACGTGTATGCAAGATGACTCCGTGTCCTAGATCCAAAGGATGGGAAACTGGGGAAGGCTTCACCTGTGATTATCAGGGTAGGACAATCCCATGCTGCTCCCTGGGGAGAAGGCCTGGCAGCGCATCTTGCTTTTAGCTGACTTGGGAGGCGTGGAGATGACTCTGAGAGGATTGTGCCTTCAGGGATGGGTTTCATGTGTTCTGCAGAGGAAAAGACTTGTCATCCCGGTTGAAATTGCAAGTTGCTGAACTGGTAGAAATGAACATGCTGGTTGTAGTGGCTCAGAGCCCTGGTCAGGGAGAGTCCCCATGTGGAAGTTCTCCCCACACGGGCCACTGCTCTTCTCTCCGTCCTGCTGGTATGCGGGGGAAGGATGCTCTAACTGCACCCTTCCCTCCCTCCAGGTCACTCACTCCTTTGCCCTTATGTACCATTATACATTTGAAATTGTTTACCTCTCCTAGAAAAAGTATATCCTTTAACCTCCTCATAGGTGAGCAACCTGAACACAGTAGCAAGGCCTTGTTAACTCAACCTGCAGTCACAGGTGGTGTGTGAGCAGATCTTCAAACCTGCAGACCCTCTAAATCGGGTGGGAAACCTTTTTTCTGCCACAGGCCATTTGGCTATTTATAACATCATTTGAGGGCCATACAAAATGATCAACTTAAAAAGTATGTTGCTATGGGAAAGCTTCTAGATTTATTGAATTTTTAGTCCTGCCTGTGGTTGCCTTGGCAGGGCCAGACCAAATGGTACGGCCGGCTGTTCCCCACCCCTGCTCTGAGGAAAGGATGGCTCCTGTAAGTTGAAAGGCTAGACCAATACTGTCCGTAGACCACACCTTATACCGCCCTGTGTCTGTTCTTTGTTCATCGTACTGAAAGCAGCAAGTTTCTGGGTCCCACATGTCACTCATACTTCTGAGCTGTACACACAGGGCTTGAGGTCTTAGAGCATTCTAGTTAGTTTTTTTGGATATGGTGGAAATGAACTGTCAAATGCTAGCAGACTTAAAGGAAATATAGTGTCTGGTTGGAGCTTGTTTAGATTTGCTTCTGAGTCAAGATGGTTTTAAATCTTGTGTTTAAGCACCGCAAACTTTAGTTGGAGAATGGGACTTCTGGCTAATAAAATAACCATGTGTCAGGATAGTTAATTTCAGCAGTTATAACAGTAACACAGGTATGCCAGATGTCTTCAGGATTCAGAAGATACTGCAGGAGCGGCGTTGCATCCCAGCCACTATTCTGTATGGTTCAGAGTGGCAGCACTGCCCAGAGGCAGAGATGCTTCTGGTAGATGAGGCCTGGATTTTCTCCATTGACAAGCTATTTTACACGATGGCCACTGTTTTTGGAACGCTTTTATGAGAGAAATTTTCAGAGATTTGGAGAAGTCATCTTGATTAGGCTGATTGTCTTTCAGAGAAATTAGTATTCAGAAGCTGGAAAGGACGATGAGGTACTCATAGCTATTTAGGGCGTATGCTTGAAAACCCTCACATCTCAGGTCTGTGTAGAGGGAACATGCCATGTCCACGTTATGTGCGTACCCTGTTGTCGTGCTAAGAAAGGAGGGGTAAGAAAGGGAATTAATCCAACCCTGGTTGGTGTGTTTGCCAAGAACAGGATGCCTGAGCTGTTGGTCTGTGCTCAGAGCCTGTCTCCTGGGTGTACCCCATACTCTTCTTTCTCTGCAGTTTGATTCTGTGACTGTCAGTGGAGGAACCCAGTTTTATGTTCACTTGGCAAAAGTAAATTTGAATATTTGTGGTGGTTGACAGAATTTTGTCCTAAAACATAGGCTTCAGATTCTTTAAAATTTGTTCAACGTTTATACCAAAGGTCACGCTCTGCAGGTGCATGTGTGTTGGGTCCACATGAGGGTGAGGTCTGGAGGGCCTGGCACTGTGCGCGTTGCTAAGGGAACACAGTGAGACAACACGGGATGTAATGAAAACACATCAGTCATGGGTCACACTGCCGGTGTCGTCAGGTGTTTGCTCTTGTTATTGTAATATATTTTCAGGTGTTTTGTTTTCTAATTTAATTCTCTCGCCCTGTTGTCTGACTGTGAACTGCTAACAGTGTTAAACTTGATGTAAATAAATGAGGCCCTTGAAAGGGGGATGCTGTCTGCCTGTTGTCTCACAAGGCTTGCCAACTTGTGTTTTATTTTAATAAAGGTTGCAATATTTTATTGGCAAAGGAGGCTTTTGATTGGAGTGTTTCTCCCATCGTTTTAACTGACAGGGAATCTGAGCAGAATTTGTCTGTGTGGAATAGATGTCTAAGGTAAAGAAGCTGGGTTTAGCAATCATCCCTCTGGTACATGCTGTAGAATGTCCTCGGTGGGGGTGAATACTTCTCCTCTGATGGATTCCAAAGGATCGTCTGGAGCCCAGCTGGTACATCAGGTGGGTAAGTGTGTGTGTGTGTCTGTCCAATGTGAGGTGACTATAAAATGAGACGTAATTCTTTCCAAGTCCATTTTGAGGACAACTACAAATAAGTTCTAAAAGTGTTTTGAGCCCAAGCAGCATGAAAAGAATAAGTAGAACCTCACTGGGAACATCCTGTTCTTTTTTGACTTGATTTCCGAGTATTTTAACAGTGAGCCATTGCTTTTAGATGTCATGTTTCACTGGGTAAGAGTAGGGTGCGCTCAGGTGGTGCCCTGTGAGGTCATTGGTGGCTGTTAAACATCAGCTTGTAAACCTCTCACTCCACCTGCTTTGGCTGAGTTCAGGAGAACCTTGTTCTAGTTTTCAGAGACACGTTGTGCTCTTTGCCCTGCCTCGTATTACGGGGACATTTCCATACCTGAAGCAGTAGCATTTGCTGAGGAAATTTTATCCTTTTATTTTTGTAGAGGAAATCTGGAAATTGTTTTAGGAACAAGTCATTGAAGCACAAGAGCTGGAGTCGGACTGCCTGGGTCGAACTCCCCTCTCCTGGCTAGAGCTCTGTGACTTCCCAAAGACATTTCACCTCTCGGAGCCCGGTTTTCTTTTATCAAACAGTGAGGGAGTTGGTCCCTAAGTCACCGTGTTCAAGATGATATGACTGTAAAGTGCTTAGCACAGGGCACAGCACACGGTAAGTTCTCAACTGTTGGTCACCCAGCCAGGGCTCCATGAACTAGAATGGAGAAGGGCAGCCTTGGCTTACAGTGTCGTGTCAAAACTGACAGCAGTTATACTAAGTTTTTATTGTTCTGTTACCCGAGCACTTGATCAGTATTAACGAGTTTAATTCTCACAGCAACCCTAGTTGTAAGTTGTGCTCACTTTGACAAAAGTGGAAACCAAGATTATGCTGGGGTTAACAGCTTCCTATCATCGCAGTGGAATGTGGCTGAGCCAAGGCACTCGGGCCACAGAAGTGTTCAAAAGCACGAGTTCCGCTGTTTGCCTTGTTCCCCGCTGTACGAGGTTTAGACCTGTCGTTAGGACATGAGACATGGCCGGCCAGTGCTGAAAGGATGTCCGCTGTGACACCTGACACCATCGAATGTACCTCTTACAGTGGAAATTGCAGTTTAGAGCTGGGTATGTAAGAGGGTCGGGTGGCCTGCACGTTCCTCCCCAGATGCTCTAGCCTGAGACAGTGAAGACACCGGCCCCATCTAACCGGTGCAGCTCGGTCAAGTTTACTTTTGTCCCATGAGTGGTTTATTTGACTGTGCATTGGGGACCTGCTGTGGCTCGGGCTGGGTGCTCCCTAACCAGGAGGCAGCTATTTGAGTGAGTGAGGACTGTGCAGTGTCCCGTGGGGGGAGAGAGATCTGTCACTGCACCTGGGCTCATGGGGAGAAGGCTGGGGAGGGCTTTAAATGAGAGGCGACACTTGAGGTGGTGACAAACCCAGCGACCTGCATGTAATTCCGAAGTGTGCGGGGAGAAACGTGAGCACGCCTCAGTGTCCATGGCACAGTGTGCATGTGGCCATTCGGTCCTTAAAAATGCCTTTTCTCTTCAAAGCTGGGAGCATGGAGTGACATTTTCTTACAGAAGAGCAATATGAAGGACGCTTTTTCAGTACGAAGTTGAAGTAAACCGGCAGACCAACATCTGGTGTCAGCTCGGTGAGTCCCAGCATTTGCTGGAGTTACTCCTCCCCCCGCCCCCCATCAGCGTTACCTGGCATCTGGCCTGGCATCTGGAATTTTGCTGAGTGAACAGGATTACTAGGTCCTACTAAGAAAGTAGGCTGAAGGTTTTAGCAAAATAGAAAATTTTAATATTTACATATGGCACAGTGATGTCAAGGCCCCTAACTTTAAAAATATTTTTTTTAACCTGCAGAACAAATCTCAGCCTACACTGACATGATTTTTTTAAAAATTATTCTGTACCTTTTTTTCCCCAGCCCAAGGCTCTCCTATGCTGTGCTCACAGATATAAGCTGCTCAGCTTCCCTCTGAGAGTAACGGCCGGAAAGGCGGCCCCACCCGCCACAGGTAAGACAACTCCTTTTCCCTTCCTGTCATTGAGAATCCTGCAGCCTCAGGCCTCACACCCAAGTCCAAGCAGCTGCAGGCAAGAGCAGAGATGCTAAGAAGCCCCTGGGATGAGTTTCTCTCCCACTTGGCGCTCTCTAGCCACCTGGCCCACATTTCGGAATGTGGCTCTGGCTTCTGATTTAAGGCCTTCCTTTTATAACCACATACAGAGCGCTGGGCGTCTACTGGCCCAGCCAGGGTCCTGTTAGGCAGTTTCAAGTTTTCATCTTGCTCTCAAGGCAGGAAATAGTTAATTCTCTGGGAAACAGATTTGCATCCCTGAGAAGAAAAGATTTGTTCCTCTTTGGGGACATACACCATCATCTTGGCAATTTCATCCAGTGCCTCTTCTGTATACAGGAGCTCCTGGCTCAGGAAAGCATCACGTGCACACAGCCTCACGTGGTGGTACTCCAGCGGCAGGAAGGGGACAAAGAAGTCAATCAGGTTTTCCTTCACAAGGCGGCTGTGGCCAAAGCCACTGTCTGAAATGAAGACCACAGTTACATGGGAACCTGAACCCAGCTGGAGGGTGAGGTGTCCTGACCCTAAGGCCTGGGCAAGGCTTGCTCTCAGGGCCACTCCAGGAGGCCTGTCTGCTCTAGAAAGGGTGCCTTGGCTGACACTGGATGTGTGCACAGATGCGGCAGGAGTGGGACATGGCAGAAGGTAGAGCCACCTTCCCTCTGACTGGAGGCCTAGCCCCAGGGTCCACGGGCCACTGCTCTCAAAGCATTTTCAGAAAAGGAGTGCAGCTTTCTTGGCACTTTTCTTGTGCCTCCCTGAAGTTGATGAGATGATTACAGGGTGTGTCCTGTGGTCCTGAGTATCCGGTGGGAGTCAGTTACCTGTGGACGCCACAATCTCAGCCTGGAGGCCGGACTCCAAGTGTTCCATCGTGATATCCTCCCGGGACCATCCAGCCTTCAGCAGACCCAGGACCACCTCATTGATGACATTGCCTCCAAGGTTACTAAAAGAGACAGGAGCTTGTTAACAGTTTCATCTTTCTATTTAGGCTTCAAGTGGACGGCTTGACACTGAGGCCACTGCACTGGAAGAACAGAAGCTGAGGTCTGGGGCCTCCTCCTGCAAAGGTCTGTACAAAAGAGGCATTGTCCGGCCTTGTCACCCTGCCTTGCTCCCTTTGGACGAACACAGACTGCTGGGTGCCGGGAGCCCAGAGTGGTGCTGAGGTTCTCTCCGTTGACTTCCATGTGTATGTGACTCCAGGACAGTGTGGCAAGTGCTAATGTAGGAGAAAACTTCAGAGGGAGGGGAAGTTTAGGAGGCACAACTCAGAGGGAGAGTGAGAAAGGTCATTAAAGAAAACATCTGTTTGGCTTGAGCTGCCTCGCCCTAATGGAAGTGGAATATAGAAGGATGGCGACATGTGCCTATGACATCATTAAGCAACTAGAATTTCAGGTCTGAAGCACAGGAAAGAGGACTGGGTTAGAGACATGGAGAAAAAGGGTGAGAAGAAATCTTAGTGGCACCAACAGGGACGCTGGGAAGGAGGCGGGACACCTGGAGTTGGCAGGGCTGCCTCCCTCTCTTCCCTCCCCTCGGGCTCCTGCAGCTCCCAAACCAACCAGGCTCTCCCTAGGAATTTCTGCCTGGCTCTCTGAAGCTCCCAGGTCCATTAACTCAAGTGTCTGTTCGTTTGGGTGCGGTCTGTGTGCCAGGCTCTGGGGCACAGAGCAGCAGCTGACTGGTTCCATCCATGCCTAGCAGGTAAGCTGACCATCTAGCCACGTGACCCAGTGCCTCCTTGCCCAGCTGGCGGGCCTGTCAGCAACAAGGGGAGTCCCTGTCCCATTGCGTAAGTTCAGCTGCATGCAGGGAAGCTTCTGCCCCAAGGCCTGCCAGGGAGGTCATCACAGCCGATGCAAGTGCAGCCACTTGCCTGTGCAAAGACCTGCCCACAGATTGCCCCATCAAGGGCACGGGGGGCATGTGTAGGACTTGCGTACGCGGCCCCAGGAGCACAGATTCTAGTGCCTTCCCCGTTTCTGCCCGGAGCCATCTACCTGACACGAAGTTTCTGGAGAGCAGGAGCTTAGCCTGTTTATGTGACCACCGTGCATAGCACATAGCAGGCGCTCAGTGGATAGTTTTGTCTCCACTTCCTTCCAAATTTCTCCTCCTGTTTTGTCCTGCAGCCATCATCTCACCATGACCTGGGCCCCTTCTCTGTTCACTCTCCTAGTCCTTAGGAGCTGCTGTGCTGGCACCAACTTTAGACAGGGGTTGCCTTCCTCAACCTGCTGACAGGGTCTGAAGGGACTGGTCACCTCTAGCCCTGGCTCTGGAGTAGGGCAAGATGTAATCTCAACAGCCCTCAGAGCCCCATAGGCCTTTCCAGAATGCTAATCTCTGAATCTTCATTTCCTCATTTGTAGACAAGATACCCTCCTTAGGTTCTGCAGTCAACATACATGCATTTTTTTCTTCCCTGGGGTACAAGTCCTTCCTTTCTCTTCTTTTCCTGACAACAGTGCAGAGAGAACAGCCATGAACGTCCCTCTCTACAGCTGCAGTGAGAAGCGGACGGTCCCTTTGCTCTCGGGAGTTCCAAGGCCCTGCCTGTGGCCCCCTGGAGCCTCCCATGCTTGTAGAGTGGGCGGAGGCAGGCAGTGTGCGTGTTCTGGCCCAGAAGACTCGGCTCTGAGGGCTGAGGGGGTCTAGCCCCACACCCATGTCCTGTTTCAAGCACCGCCTCCTCCTGCCATCACACTCCACCCAGCTGGTCAAAAACCACCACCAGCTTCCCTCCAACAGCAGCGCTCGGAGATGTTTCAGGATGAAACTGCTGTGAGTTGCTCACACTAGAAGTTTGAATCAGCTATGTTTTTCTTTCAGATAGAGGAGTCCTTACACATTCTAGAAATCAAGCCCAGAAACTTGTTAAAGAGAAAAACCAGAGGCACTGTGCTAAAAGCCCCATGGCACCAAGCCTGGACTTCTCTGGTCAGTACCAATGAGGTAACCTGTCACAGGCCCTCTTCCATCACCAGCGGAAGCTGGCCCTGCCAGAAACAGTCCTTTGTTTTGCCAGCTTTCATGTCCTGCCCAGTTTTGCTTATAAAAAGCATTCGTTGTCCAGATTCTCAGAGCATCTGTTTACTAGATGGGATGCTGCCTGATTCAGGAACAGCTTAATAAAGCCTATTAGCTCTTCAAATTTACTCAATTGAAGTTTAGTTCTTTAACAGATTTAAATACACTGTCTTTCCTTACCCATCACTAAATAACTGAAACCTTCAAGGTTTAAAGGGTGGCAACCTTGCTGGCCCTTGGGTAGTGGTATCTGGCCCACCTGCCACCGGTGTGGGGTCCTCCTCCCTGAGGGCCCACAGGGCGCCTTTTCCCTGCCCTGCCTCCACCCATTCATGGTCTGTCTAGGTCACTGGAGGGGGTGGGGAAGGGCATGGAGTGGGGGTGTCAAGACCAAAATACTACAATGGCAAACATTTACATTTGTTTAGAGATACAGCAGGGTCACCTTAGAAATCCTGGCACAGGTGCTGAGAACTGGGCCGAGCCCGTGGGGAGGAACAGTCAGGTGAAGGGAGAGGAAGGAGAAGCTATGCACAAAGTCAAAGGATTTCTACAAAAGCAAAAGAGAATCACGAGCTGGTCACCAGAATCCTTCCATGGGGGAAGGACTGGTGTCTGCAGCAGTAGTTCAGAGGGTTCCCTGGACACCCACCACCTGGCAGGGCTTACGTGGAGAAGCCATAAGGAGCCTCCAGGCTGCCTCAGAAGGTGGTCAATAACACAGAGCCAATCATATCAGCAAATCTGCTTTTCTCTTAAAACCACCTTGGTCAGCCTCCTGCCCTCCACAGCTCATCCCTCACTCTCCAAACCTGTAAGCACCCTAAAGCTGGGGGAAATCCCCTAGCAAGCATGTACTACCATGGGGAGGGAACAACTGGTTTGTCTTCCACTGAGTGCAAGAAGCGGCTTGTGAAGCATTCCAGTTGGGCCAACAGGGACCCAGACTTTAACAGACCTTGGGCAGTACATTCCCAGTTGGAGCCGCCATAAAATAAGAAGGTTGGACAAGTCGATTTCTAAGCCTATTTTCAGCATAGCCTTTTCCAGAGCCTGGAGCACAGCACAAAACAGGAAAGGTCCTGTGTGGTGGGCTTGCAAATGGGGAGAGACAGAGCATTTCTCAAGTAACTTCCTCTCATGATCAGAGAAGAAAAAGACTTTTCCAAGGATGGGGAGAGAACACACCATGTTATAGTTAGTAGGAAACTACCCTTTGGGTCTACATTAAGAATTTTCCAAGGTAGTTTGTACTTCATTTTGAACTAATTTGCTGACTTGAAAACTTAATGCCCTACTAAGAGGGGATTCCCAGTATATGAATTACATTTCAAACTATATTACAAAGTTACAGTGTGATACTGGCATGAAAACAGACCCATAGATCAATGGAATAAAACACAAAACTCAAACCCACACGTATATGGTCAATATATGACAAAGGAACCAAGAATAAATTAATGGGAAACTAGACCACTATCTAATACCGCACACAAGAATGGACTCGAAATGGATTAAATACTTGAATGTAAGATCTGAAGCTCTAAAATTCCTAGCAGAAAACTTAGGTGGTAAGCTTCTTGGTCTTGGTAATGATTTTTTTGGATCTGACACCAAAAACAAAAACAAGCAAAAATAAGTGCGACTACATCAGACTCAAAAGCTTCTGTACAACAAAGGAAACCAACAAAAGGAAGAGGCAACCTACTGAATTGGAGAAAATACTTCTAAGTCATATCTGATGGGTTAATATCCAAAATATATAGAGAACATAACTCAGTAGCAAAAAAATACACATCCCAAACAAGCAGATTAAAAAATGGGCAGAGGATCTGAATAGATATTTTTCCAAAGAGGATATACTGATGGCCAACGGGTACACAAAAAGATGCTCAACATCACTAATCATCAGATGAGACATCACATACCTGTTAGAATGGCTGTTGTCAAAAGGATGAGGTAAATGCTGGTGAGGATGTGGAGAACAGTGAACCCTTGTGTACTTGGTGGGATTGTGGACTGGGGGTCTGAGGGGAGGCCCACCATCCTGAGAACAATGCGGGAGGCTGGATGAGAGGCAGCTGCTCTTCCCCACGCCAGTCCTCTGAGTTTGTACTTAGCTGGCCATTGGGGGGGAGGGGAGTGGGGACCACAGTCCTTCAGAAGTGCCCTGGGGTAGAACTGGGGCAGGAGCTGGAGACTTAAGGCTACCCGCCCCCGGCGGTGACACCCCAAGCAGCTAGGTTTCTATGTTCTCGACTACAGTTGTATTGGTTTCCCTTGTGGAAAAGGGTCTGCGGTCTAGGAGAGCACAGAAGCCCTCTATGCACACACAGCACCCAGACAGAGGTTCTCCCTCCTGGTTTTCCTCAGACCTCACCTGAGAAAAAGAAAGATGGTTCTCGAGGACTCAGCCCTGTGGTTCTCCAGGACCTGGCGTTCCAGATGTGGCCCGAGGGCCTCCAGCAGTCCTGGGTGCAGCTTCTCAGCCTCATCAAAAATGAACAGGGTCTGGTGGCAGTGCTCCTGTGTCTTCCTCACCTGTTCTGTCAGCTGCTCCTGCACAGAATACAGGGAGCAGCTGGGGACCCCTGGGAGGCACATTCAGCCCGGGGGGCCCTGGTGAGGCTCCTTTTACCCTGGGGAAGCACCTGCAGTGGATTGCGTAGGGCTAGGTTCTACCCTGGAATTACCAAATTCAAACTTGTGGAGGTGGGGCTGGCCTGGGAGAGGGAGAAGGAGAGGGCCTTGCCTGCCCTTGGTAACAGACCCTGCTCCCTCCCCTCCAGGAAGAGGTCCCAGAACTAACAGCCAACTCACCCTCCCCAAGGGGTGGGAATCAGGCTCTGATACAAGGGTCATAGGTAGAGACAAGCTCAAGTGCCAGAGGTGGCCACAGTCCCATCTTGAACTTCCAGGATCAGAGTGCCCACTGGGCTAACTCGGGGAGGAGCCTGGGAAGGACCTATCTGGGTCTACGTGGCCTTCTTGGAACTGGGGCTCCCCATTCAGGCAAGAATAGTTCTCAGTTGAAAAGATGCCACTTTGTGGGGTTCACCAGATCAGGGCCAGCTCTGCCCCACGGTGGGGTGTTTTAGCAGAGCCCACACTCACTGTTGCCTCTAGCCTTCCTGGATCCTGACTTCAGTGCCCTGTGACCTGAGTGTGTGTGTGATGAGATGTATGCGGTGTGAGTGTGTACGTGTCATTTTTCATGGTGAGGAAGCCACAGTCAAAGCCAGCTAGATTTTCTGGGAAGGCCTGGCTGACCAGCTGCCTGCCCTTAGGACAGTTCATCCTAGCCTGCCCTCCGAGGCCACACTGAAGCTGCCAAGTGACTCAGGCAATCCCTCCTCAAATGCTTACCTAATCTTCCCAGGTTAACGCATTCCAAATATTTGACCTGAAAACCAGAGACAGACTCACCTCTGTCAGGCTGCAGTGGGGTTTTGGTCATTGTCCAGCTTGCTTTAAATACTACATCTCAATGGAAGAAACCCAAAATAGAGCAAAGACAATTTTTGTCCCTCCACTTGTTGGGGGAAATCACTTATGATATGAGAGACTTCTTTTAAAAAACAGGATTTGCAACTTTCCACTCTAATGACAGTGACATCACACAGCATAGGGAAAGGCTTGCAGGAAGCACACCGAAATGCTAACTGATTCCACTTTTCCTGTGACTTCCACTATTATCACAGAAAATTAACACACGGAATCTTTTTAAGCTCCGTGTCTGTCGGGGAAGGAGACAGCTCGGGACGAGTGCTGTGGAACATGTCTCTCGTCCACGTGTTCAGGGCCTCATCTGTGTGGAGTAGAGGTTTCTGTGGGTTACAGGTTCTGTTGAAATGGACCCTGTCTCCCAAACCCCACACCTGGGCTTGTCCAGGGCCCATCGGCCAGCACAGAGGGCTGCGCCTCGGGCCGTCCCAGCCTCACCTTGTACAGGTCCACATACTGGGGGTGAGGGAAGTGGATCATGGTGATGAAAACCTTGACACAGTCACTCCTCAGCCCGTCCCGGTACAGGTTCTCCGCCAGCAGCCGTGCCACGAAGTTCTTGCCTGTGCCAGACCAGCCGTGGAACGACAGAGCCAGGGCCTTGTCTGGCCGGGGCAGCTCCAAGTAGCTCTTCACTGTTGTCAGGACCAGCTCCTGGGCCAGATGCTGGCCGTGCAGTCGCACACTCAGGTCCGACTGAAGGCCTAGGGGTAGGAAAGAGGAGGCCACAGTGAGAGGTGCACACAAGTGCAGTCCCCACCAGGCTCAGCAACAGCCGAGAGAGAGAACACCTCTGAACATCACTGAGGTGGGATCACTTTGGCCTCAGAACAAGCCATTGAGCACACCTAGCAGCAGAAGGGATCCGAGGGCTATTTTCTGAAGAATTAGAGAAGTCACCATTGGACTTAGGGAGAGAATGGATTCATCCTTTCTGAAGGCCCTGAAGACCCCCAGAATGGTTGGGAGAGTCCAAACCTCACACCCCATGCTCGCGGTCACTCCCACCTGGAAGTTTCAGAACTCCCTACATATTTCATGGGACACTCATTTTATTCATTTTAACTCAATTCAGTAGACACCTGTTGGCAGTGTGTGCAAAATCATCTGGTAGGCTGGCTCTCAGCCATGAGGCTGCAGAGTTTGGAGATGGGGCCATGGTGGGGACAGGAGAGAGTGCTGCCAACGGGGGGGAGGATGAGGAAAGGTCCCCTATACCTTAGCCATTCCCCTGAACTGCCTCTCCTTCCCCCAGATCTCTATCCCCTTAGAGGTATACAAGGTCCAACCTGTGAAGTTGTTGGAGACCCTGCAGTCCCCATGGTCACAGCAATCCCGGAAGCTGCAGTACCACGTGGTCAGGATATCCAGGTACTGCTGGCCCAACAGGGGAAGGCTCCAACCTGGAAAAGGGGGGGCTGTGAGACAGACAGCATGGGGCCCACAGGGAGCCTGCCCTCCCTGCCCATGTGGTTCTTCCAGTCCTTTGCCCTCCCTCCACAGCCACTCTCTCTGCCCTTCCCTGGACCTCCCTTGTGCCTGGGTACGAGTGGACATCTCTAGCTTTGCTATTGATGCAGCTCCAGGAAAGGCTCGGTTGACTCAACAAACATGCCCTAAGCACTGTGCCAGGTTGGCCAGGAGCCCAGAGCCCGCCTGCGAGGAGCTGGCCACCTAGCTGGGGACAGGCAGCTGGTGATCATCGTTCTTCCTGCTTGCTCTGGATTCCAAATCTGATCATAGCCAAACCCAAAGGCCTCTCACTCTTTTGCCAAATGTTAATTTGAATATACCCAGCATTAGCAAAAACAAAGACCATACGCTGGAAATCAGAAATCTTTAAAGATGTGTAGAGCGCCATTACAGTACTATTACCAGATCTAGAATTGTTAAGAGACCGGAAAAGCCTCAGAGATCATCTGGTCCACGACAGGGACAGAATGGGAACTAGAACTCTGGTTGGGGCTCCACCTCCGTCAGCCACAGAGGAGGAAAAGGGACTTGGGATGTGCCCAATGGCATTTTAAGCCATCAAGGCGTGAGCTATCTGGAGGAGTCGGCTACCAGCCAGGTAGACAGGACAGCCAGGCCCATCCTCTAAGACGGCTGTGGCAGGGGCGAGGCTTCCCGGTCCTCCCGGGACTGGGCAGCAGAGTCAAGGTGGCTGCTAAGGTGCCTGCAGGGTGATCCTGAGGCTGCTGGCCCCGGGCAGGTGCGCTGGGGCACATCTCACCCCCGGGTCTTACCCAGGGCCCCCGCGGGGGCCTCCTTGTCCAGCGAGCAGGTCTTGGGCCACACGCGGCAGCTGAAGAGCGCCCAGTACCGCCTGGAGAGGGCGCCGGCCGCCCTCACCCACTTGCGCAGGTCCCGGAAGGGGAGGGACGGCCAGGCTTGTCCTGAGCCGGGCTCCTCGGCCTCCTCTCCGGGCCCAGCCGGGTCGTGAAGCTCCAGTGCGCCTGCCGGCGGCGGCGGCGGCGGCAGCAGCAGCAGCAGCAGCAGGACCCTGAGCCGGAGCTGGCTCCGCAGGCCGCGAGGCATATCCGGCTGAGCTCCCGCTGCTCCGCGCCCGGCCTCGCTCAGCGTGTCCAGTCCGGGCTCCGGGAATCTACAGGCACCGGAGCTTCCCTTCCGAGGCTGAAGCCAGGTCGGCTGGGGATTGGAGTTGCCGCAGGAACCGCAGCCCCACGTGACCCGGGGCGAGGCGGTGCCCCAAACCGAAACCTAGGCTGGGCGCCGCCCATCCCAGGGGCTGGCGTCCAGTCAGCGGCCTATTCTGAGCTGATTGTGGCCGCAAGGGTGAAGTGGAAATGGCCCGTCATCACCCTATTACTTTCTGGCAGCTCTGCGGGCCCATGGAGGCCTACCCAATGTGGGCACCCTCTGTGCCCGCCCGGTGCCAACCTGTTAGAGGAAACCGGAGCATTCATCACCAGAGGCTGGGTTGGGTCCGCTGCGTGGAGAGGAGGCCCTGAGAGGGAGGCCTGGCTCCTCCACGAGGGGAAAGGAACATGGCAGCTCGTCACCAGCAGGTTTCCGCAGCTGAGCATCAGCACAAGCAAGAGGAAGCTGTGGGCTCCCTGCTGGAGATGTGGGTTTTGGAAACTCGCAGAGCCACGGGGAAATCATAAGGTCTCATGTCGATGTAATCAGGTCTCATTAAAAAGCAGCGCTGTGTGGAATTTCCGAGGATGTTTGCAATTTTTAAGCGCTTGTGACCATGAGCAAGCAGCTTCTGACATCACTGGCCAAAGACCTGAGGGCCGTTCCCCAGCCGCCTTTCCCAGACCACGCGCATCCTGCCAGGTTAGAGTTCAGAAGAGCTTAAAGCATTTTTCTGTCGCCTGACTTACTGAATTCACTGGCCTACAGCCACCTTGTCTTAAGAAGAAACTGCTGTCTAGAGTCCAGGGGACTTGGCTACTGTCATTGGCTCAATGGCTCTGAGGTTGGACTCTCCCGCCAGTAAAGTGAATCCTAGCGCCATCTCTCACTAACGTCACAAGCAAATCTATTCACCTGTTCCTCCCAGTCTCTGCTCCTTCCTCAGCAGCTCACCGGGTCTTCTTTCAGAAATCAGGCAAGTACCTTAGTCAGGATACGAGAGCCAGATTGTAGAGTACTGTTATCTAAGTATATTGTACATCTTAGCCACTCAGAGTGATGTCAAAACTGAACCCAAACCTTCCAGAGAACAGTGCCCAGTCCACAAGTCCAGCTCATGAAACTCTTCAGGGGACACTTACCAAGGAACATGCTATACTTCCTCAGAAATTGAAAACATTAACTTATTCAGTAAATGTTCGAGCGTGAATGACAATCTAATATGCTGGTTAACTGGCCCCTACCATTTTCTGTATGTGACCTTGGGTGTTACTTAACTGACCTGCGCCTTAGTTTCCTCACCTATAAAATGAGGATAATATAAAATAGTCAGTTTATAAAGATGCCTTGAAGATCAATGGGCTAATTCAAGTGCACGTTATCTTTCATGATCACATATGCCTCACCCTGGACAAGGCTCTGGCTGGGTACTCCAAGTCTGAATGGCTATATTTGTACTAGTGAAGTTTACATGTGAATGTATGGTGATAAAATTATTAGAATTAACCTGTGTGTTTTTTAATCCAAATCTTAAGACGAAATAATAATCTCTTTACTGTAACTTTCATGTAGCACTAACTGCTAATTTCTGAGATATTCTGATTTAAATTTTACATTTCATGGGAAATAAAGTAGGTAGATGGCAAATTCTTGGACAAGCAACTTGATTTCAAGAAGACATTTCCTTTTCTAAAAGGAATAGAGCTAAACATTTTTTCACCAGAGTCAGTACCACATAGAAACAATGAATCAAAATGAAAAAGAGCCAGGCCAGTGTTGCTCAGTGGTTGAGCATCTATGAACCAGGAAGTCACAGTTCGATTCCAGATCAGGGCACATGCCTGGGTTGCAGGCTCGATCCCCAGTGTGGAGCGTGCAGGAGGCAGCCAATCAATGATTATCTCTCATCATTGATGTTTCTATCTCTCTCTCCCTCTCTGTAATCATTAAAAAAATTAAAGATGAAAAGAAACATTGAATCCAGTTTTTAGACAGCCTCTAATTTCAATAAACTGCTAACATTTCCTATGGGTTGAACTCTAGGAGCAAATCTCATGGAGGATGGGGACATCTAAAGGCACATGTGAAAATTACAGGCAGCAAAACCTATCAGTGATACTCAAGTGTGGTCCAAGGACCCTCGGCAACAAATTCTGCATCTTAAGAGTCTTGCTAAGAGAAAATGAGCCCCCAGTAACTTTACTATCATCTGAGTGGGACAATCCCCCACCTACTGAAGTCAGTCAGAAACACCATTGGCCTTGAAAACAATCTTTGGGTAAAAATCAAACTATCTCCAAATAAGCTTGGCATGCAAAAAGCAAACTCTGAAAACATAAAATGAATGTTTTCACAACTTGTCTAGATGCCAACGGCTCCTTTGTTTAACAAACAGTGCCATAGAGACATCACAGTGGACTGTGTCCTTCCCAAAGACAGGGCACAACTGGCCAGAACCACAGGAAAGCCTTGAAGGGACATTTCTGGTGGCCCAGGTACTAACAACAGAGCACAGGCCCAGGAGGCTCTGCATTTCTGGAGTCAGGGATTCTACACGCGTGACAGGCCTGGGTCAATCGCTTCTTCAATGAGGATCCTGTCTACCTCTCCCCCTCCAAACACCCATGGTTCTTTCCTGGGCCTTATTTTCATTGTAATGAACTTACATCATTCCTGAGGCATTTGGTACTTCACAAGCAGCTTTCTTCTGCTGGGATTACAGGCTCTCTGAAGAAAGGGAGTCATTACCATCTCGATGGCATCCATGGCTCAGAGCACAATGCCCAAATGTCTACTAAAGAAATCAAATACTTTATAAATCATGACTTACTACGATTACTCCCTGGGATTTATACAGCAACCTACCTTACAAAACCCACCCATGCAGGCAGCCAATCAGTAATTCCCTCTCATCATTGATATTTCTATCTTCCCTTTCCCTTCCTCTCTGAAATCAATAAAAATATTTTTTTAAAAAACCCATCCATGTTATATTAGTAATTATGACCATTCTTGTCTCTTACAACATGAGAGCTGCTAAAAAGTTCTTACAGGCAAACACACTGGGTAAAATTAGCCATAACAGAAGCGTGCCCTCCCTACTCCCCGCTGCCTTTTCAAGCTTTACTCCCAGGCTTTCTGATACGCTTGAGAAGCAAACGAAGCCCGAACTCTCGCCTGGAAAAGGATTGACGTGAGCCCAAAAGAACACTGTCTTAGGCTTCAGCCTCCCATTGGTATTCAAGCACAAATGACAAAAACAGGCACAAAATGCTGCAAATCAAGTAAAAAAGTCTTAAGAACTCTGCTCAGTTGTCTGATTGAGACATGATACTTGATTTCCATTTCAAAAGTTAAAAATCTGGGCCTTTGCTGGTGTGTTCAGTGATTAGAGCCTCAGCCTCTGTACCAGAAAGGTCTCGGGTTGAATTCACGTTCAAGGGCATGTGCCTCTGTTGCAGGTTTGATCCCCGACCCCTGTTGGGGCACATGCAGGAGGCAACCAATTGATGTTTCTCTCTCACATTGATATTTCTCTCTCCCTTCCACTCTCTGAAAATCAATGGGAAAAATATCTTCAGGTGAGGCTTTACAAAAAAAATTAAATTATAAAAAAAGTTAAAAATCTGAGTGTCCTAAGAATTATAATCAGGGCACCTGGTCCTCTCTTCCGTGCCTCTGCAGTACTGCCCTGACAAGTTCTTTGGGATTCATAATTTTTTTCTCTCTAAAGAAGCTGCAAGAATTGAGTTAACTAAATGTACAAAAAGCATCCAAGAAACATCCTTTGGAAAATTTTGGTCCAGTCACAACGTGGTCTGGGCCTTTTGAAGACTCCTAAGGAAGCTAAAGGTCTCATCCATCAGATCCTGTGAAAGTGTAAGATGTAACTTCTGTCCCCTGCTAAAATAGGTAGGAAAATGAAATAGAAAACACAGGAAGTACCCTGAAACGGGGGGAGAAAGAATAAGAGGAAAACATGATACATCAATACTTATTAAAATCTTTATTAATTTTCTTTTTTCAGAATTGAAACCCATAGAACATATTAGAAATTTAGGTGTACATCTGTCTTGTTTGGTGACTTACCCAGCACAACCTCTCTTTGTGCAATAGCTCTGGGAGGAAATCCTTGGTAGATCAAAACAGAGAGTGGTGGTCTTACACTTCCCTTTTAAGCAAATAAATTAGCTCCCCACTAAGTTATTCCCAGTTCCCCCCAAACATTCTGTATTTGTAACCCCTTAGTTCCTTAAAAAACCTGTGGCAGCCCCTACCTTTCAACCCAGACTTGAGAAATTGGAGGAAGAAAAACTGGCTTTCCCTGTACAAGAAGCTCTGTGAAGTCAGGTCTATCTGGCTCTACATGTGCCTCGTGGGCTGGCTCACCAGAGTTGCTCGGTAGGCGTTTACTGAATGAATGATCTCTACGCACGTAGGGTCCACACTCAGCGACTGAGAAGAGAACCTTTCACTAGCTTCAAGTTCTTCAGCAACATAAATCAGTGTTTCCCTGTGTCAAAATAAATACATTTTTTCTTGCTAGAATACATATATGACTATATACACACATATATCTTTACTCACGTTTCCTGAAGCTCAAGCTCCCAGGATACAAGTCAGCTAGCTCACTGACAGATGCTGTATTACCATTACAGAGGTGTGGTCACTTGCTGGTCAAACAAGAATACAATACAGGGACCATTGAGAAGGGAGGTTGAAGGAACATGGTGGATGAGAAGGGGAGACCAAAAGCCTTTTGTTTCGGTTTTGAGAAAAGATGGATTTCTTTGGAAGAACATCGAAAAAATTGCCATGTATAGGATTAATCTTTCCCAAAGTAATATGAAGTGGATGTACCCAAATTCTCCCATTTCTTAAGTTTCATTTGACACATTAATTCTGAATGCAAATGCCTTACTAATATACTACTGAACAAATCAGATCCTGTCTATAATTTGTTTTGCACAGAAAATTACTTATGGCCAAACCCACAATATAGACTCACATTAAAGAACAGTTTTAGAATGAAACCTCTCTCCTCATATTTCCCTACTCAGACTCTGGAATAAACATATTTAAGAAGTAGAAGGAGATAAGGAAATAGCAGTCACTTCTGATTTTCCTAGCTTTATAACATTAAAATGTATTCAAATCTACCTTTAGTTGTCAGCTAGACACACTCTACTTCGAGCTGACCAAAAACCTTTCCAATGACTTGTCTGACTAATAGTGCTAGATTCTAATAAATAAACCATCAAGGGAACAGTGTTAGAAACTTCTGAAGAGATATCTACCTGGTTTTTTCAAATAAAACTTAGTATTTCTGATTTTCAGGGCTATGTTTATGGTTAGTTTCTCTAAGGTTCGCCCAAACATACTTTTCTTGCTTAATCCAATCCTGACTTCGAATATAAATTTATATTCTCAGTGTCATGTAATCAGCACAGTTATAACTTTAACCATTCCAGATCTGAACATCTTTTAAGAGCATGAATTTTTAAACAGCAGGGAAAGAAGGAAATTATTCATTTTCGGCAATGTTTTAAAAAGGGATGAGACAGTTTCAAAGCAGCTTTCTCTCCTGCCCTTTTCCTCAGCACAGTCTTCTGTCTCAACATTATGAATAAAATTCGCAGTCTGCGAACAACTCTTATGCATTCCAGTGTGGCACACTAAGGGACATGTGCTGAAAGAGCACTGATCCATTTAGTTCAGCGAACATTTACCCAGGAGAGGGGGGCTGACATCTTTCCCTCCCTCCCTCCCGCTGGCTCGCTGCTCCTGCGGGGAACGCACTCTCCAAGGTATCCTCCTGATCAACTGGAATTCTGGCACGTACACAGTCAATGGCCTTACAACTGGAATCAATACCGCCTTTTGTCAACATTATTGTAGTGTTTTGTGCTAATACTGTCTTGTAAAATTCAATAATTTTTAAATAACTCAGCCCATTCTTGTGTACATCTCAAAATGTGTATAGAGTACAAAAGTATCCTAATTTTGCTCTTTTAAAGTAGTCACAGGATACTTAGTTATCTTTCAATGCGAGGACGTTGGGACATAAATTCTAAACTGCTTTTGAAAGGGTGGTTGTTTACAACTGGTCTCCAATGGCTGGGATCAACCACACTTAAATATTAGTCCCTGCTTGACAGAAGCACAGAACTGGGACAGCACCCAGACAACACGTGGGACAGCACACAGCGCTGAGGACACACTGAGCGGGCACAATAGGCCTGCCGCCCTCTGGCCCTGTATTTTACTGCAACTGCTTACATGGCACAACCTCTCCTCCAGAACCCAGAACTAAGCCTGTGTTTTAGCAACCTGAAATCTGAGAATGCTAACAAGAGACAGAACACGGGTTAGAAACTCCAAACAAGATTAAATGATGAAATTAGCAGTTGACATAACTCAAAATCTTAAGGCTCTTCCTGGTACAACCTCCTTAGTTTTAAGGCTCAGAAGGCTTAAATCTTTGTTTCCAGTCATCCACATGGCTCAAGTCATAAGTCAGCCCAGCCAGCAGCAGGGTGTACACGTTCATCTGCCAGAGTGAGCTGGCTCTTCTCACAAGAAAGGCACAATCAGGGTTGCCAGGCTCTGGGAATAGCAGCTTCCAAGGCCTTACAGGCCGAGGTGGAAAGTCATCTCAGAAGAGAAACCAGGATGGCAGAGGTCACAAGTAACCTAACTGTTATTCAAGGTATTTTTTGTTTGCTTTGTTAAATGGAAAGGATTTGTCTCCTTTGGGCAAAACAAAGAAATAAAAGTCTCATAAGAGAATCATGCTTGGGTTGTAACAATAAGTTCTCCAGAGACAATATTTTGGTTAATTGAAACACAGCTGTGAGAACGCAAACTTTACTCAGGTACAAGTCACATTAGCTTTTATACACCTTAAGAACTTAAATAAAACCCAGGGGAACCTGCTTTCGCTAATCCAGTCATCTCCCTGATTCCGGTCACCTTCTCTCCCTTCTTCCCTCCTCCAAGAGTCATCAAAAGTGCTGCTGCCTAATCACTGAAAAGCCCAAACATCCTTCCTGCTTTTGTTCTCCCTCTAAACATACCCCCTCCAACAGAGCCTGCCTTTGGCTCCACACAAAATGCCAGGTTTCCACAGGTATGGTCAGAATGAACTCCAAATACCCACTCCAGAACCAATCCCAGCATGAACCTATCCAAACGTCACACCTGTTGTCCTTTGGCATGAGACTTAAGACTGACCAACTGTGATGCTCACTAGAACGGGCAAGGGCCGAGGACGTCACGTAACTCAGCAGAATATTCCATGTTCTGAACTAACAGTCCTCACTTCAGTTTCTACAATGGAAAACACCTATGAAATCCAAGGCCACTCTGTCCCATCACCAGAACTTGCTGCCGGCCATTTCCAATCCATCTCATACCATTTGGAATTGATTGTGCTGTTTCTCTATCTTTGTAAAAAGAAGTTTCAGTTATTCTGTGCTGCAAATTACAAGTGAGAGAGAGGCATCCTGTCTTCCACCAGCACAGTGTCCATCCCAAACTGGTCCGTGCACTGCTTCACAGTGGCCAAGACGCTCAGGAGCCGCTGGTCCACAGCGTCCAGGTGTGGGTCGGACAGCACTGGGGAGATGGGGTCATGGGCCATGGCAGATTTTAAGGCAGACTTCAGCACACCATTCTTTAGGTAATTCAGTCTGTTCCAGGTAGAAACCCGAATGCTGGAAGAAGAAGGTTTCGGATGGGTTACATAAGACCTTTCACTAGTAAAGAGTTTAAAGCCTGCTTGGCAAACAAGAGTAAAGAAATTAGTATGTAAAATACCTCAACTAAAAAAATCAGTATGAATAAGTCACATTATCACATTTTGATATTTTTTCTAGGTAATTAATGAGAGGTAATACAAAGATTTATACATGCTCACTGCAGTGCTATTTATAAAAAGGAAAATGTGAACCAAACTGAATGTCCAACAATTGGTAATTAAGTAAGTTATGGCTCATCCGCTCAAGTAAAATACCATGCAGACGTTAAAAGGAGTAAAGAAAATGTCCATGATATTGGGTGTGTGAGAATAAAGAAGCTGTTTTACTCCAAATTTATGGGGAAAGAAAATGTGTATTTGTACACACAAAGACACACACACACACAAACACAGACACACGATTAGAAAGAAGTCACTGTAGTGTGAACAGAAATTATCCTTACATCTTTTTTTAAAAAATATATTTTATTAATTTTTTACAGAGAGGTAGGGAGAGGGATAGAGAGTTAGAAACATCGATGAGAGAGAAACATCCATCAGCTGCCTCCTGCACACTCCCTACTGGGGATGTGCCCGCAACCAAGGTACATGCCCTTGACTGGAATCGAACCTGGGACCCTCGAGTCCGCAGGCCGACGCTCTATTCACTAAGCTAAACCAGTCAGGGCCAATTTTCCTTCTGACTCCAACTCTCTGTGAACTGAAAGGTGATCATAATCCCATATAATAAAAGCCTAATATGCAGATTGTTCCCTCAGGTGGTGGTTCAACCACTTGCTATGATGTGCGCTGACCACCAGGAAGCGGCATGGAACAGGATGGCGTCGGCCACACAGTACTGACAGCAGGCTGCAGTGGAGGCGTTGCCGGCCCCAATGAACCCTGATGAAAGCGGGACTGCGGTGGGGGGGAGGAGCA